GATGAAAAATTTTTTAAAAACTGAATTTATTCGTAAAACTTCTTTTATTTAGATCTTAATCTGTCTTCTACAGTAGGTATAGAGGGCCTTGACGATATTGCAGAAGTCATAGATGTTTTTAGGCTTTTATGAAATTTTTTTTTTTAGTTTGGGGCATTCTTGGCTACCTTCTTTTCTTTTTGAGCTGGCGATTGTAAGTTGGGAATGTACGTTGCAAGGACTTTTAGGTTTAACAGTACATTCACGTTTTTTGGTGTTAATAAACTCAGTAGAAGAGTTAGAATTGAGCAAAAAAGGTGGTTTGTTTTCTTTGTTTGGTTGTTACTAAATTTTAGATTGAGAAATCAAAATGTTTCTCTCTTATTTTATGATGAAAATTCCAAAGTTTGTAAAACAGTCATTACTTTTTTCATGAATATTACACATTATTCCTGGTTCTGAATTTCTTTTTGTTACATAGTTATGCATTTGAAAACTGAACGAAAAAATTAGTTTTCTTTTTTGTTTTATAGATTAATTATAACATATGCGCAGTTGCTTTCACACAGTTTGAGCAATATTTAGTTGCAAGAAATTTTGCGAAACAGCATGAGTGTCGCTTGAATTTTAATTGTGGTTCAAAATCAGTTCGGTCACATTTACAATTATCATTTGGTGGTTGTTGTATAGGAGTGTTTTGCCATTATTTTCCCAAATTTAAAAATTTGCGATGAGCCGTTTCGGTACAGTTAGAACTCTGTGAAAGAGTGCTTTATGTAAGTAGTTTGCTGAAAAAACCATCAGTGCTCTGCTTTCAAGTGGGTGTAGAACCGAGTATGTTGGGAAGTAGGAAGAGGATAGATAGTGTTTTAAACTCTTATGGAAAAGGCGGAGCAAAGGCTGAAGAACAGGAAGAGACGGCAGAAAAGTGTTTTCAAGAGAATTTGGTTAGTATGTTGCTGTAAAATTTAGGCTGTGACAGTGAACTGTGCGCTTAGTAATTGAAAATGAGGGTTATAAAGTGCTAAATGCACTATTGAACAGATTTTAACTTAATTTTTTTCCAGTTTGTAGGTTCTTTTTGTCTGCTTTGTGTGTACTTGCAGTGCTTTAAAAAAAAAGAAAAAACAAGGATACTCAGCTGTAGACCATTTATTTGTTGTTGTTGAGCGAGATGGCAGGTTTGTATGTGTTAAATGTTTTTTTTACAAATATGGGTGGTGTATTCTTTTATAAGCGTGCAGTCCAGTCATCTACTGCGCACACTGCTTTTGTCGAGTAAAATCTAAAAATAGAGTCATTTAATTGGTGGTACCTGAAGCTGCTCAGGTAAATTGGTTTGCTTAGTGATTTATGACGCTGGGAAAGATATTTTGTGTTTTATTATTTTTGCTCGGCTTTTTTGTGCAGTCGTTGCAATAGCGGGGAATAATCTGATTGTCTAGGAAAAATAAGTTTGCTTTTTTGGGGAAAAACTTTCTATTTTTCTTTTTTCTGTTTTCAACCGGTGAACAAGGGAGGTTTTATGACTAAATTCTTTGGAAATAGACAGTAGTTGTGTTTTATTTGGTTCTTATCTTATTTTGTTTCAACAAGTTTTGAGAATTAATCGGAAAATAAAGCGCAGGTAATAAATAAATTGCCTCACCTGTATTTGTCTGTGTGTATGTTTATTTGTCGGTGTGTATGTGTTTATAAGTATTTTTATATGTATATTGTTTTTTGTATGTGGAGCCGGGATGCGGCAAAACTGTTTGGTATTGGTACCACTTGAATTATTGATTGTGAAAAGTGTTCTTTTTTGGCTTTCATATACCAGTCATTAAAACTTATGGTAGACATCTGGCTGCCCCGAGAGGTTCTTTTTCTTTAATGTGCTCACTCGCCTGGTTTTGCAGATTGCTACCTTCTACGTGCTTTTTTTTTTTTTTTTTCTTTGTAAATCTATCTTTATCTTGTAGTTTTCGCTCGAAAAAGAAAAATTGTAGGTTTGATTGCAGTTCTCTAAACGTTGGGTGGATTTCAGTGTAGTTTAATTTGTTTTATTTTAGTCGATTTTGGTTTCATTAGGCTGCATGATCAGGAATATATTTTTCTTGCAATCGCTGCCGGTCATTGCTACTAGAATGATTCGGTTATTGCTGTTTACATATTTAATCAAATGTGCAGTTAAGATGGGTTTAGTAAAAGGCTTTGATTGGTTTTCTTTTTTTTCTTTCTTTTTTCCTTTTCAAGAAATATGTGCCATCTGTTTTGTAAACTTTTTTTATTTGACACTAACTATTGGCCTAATTCTCATACGTTGTTATGAATGTTTTTTGTTTTGTTTTTAATCTTTTTGACGACAAGTTCTGGTGCTGTTTTACGTGTTTTTCTGTGATACAGTTACCAGTTTCATTTGATAGATTAAACGAGTTCGACCAATGATAGGAACGGCAATATTAGTTCATTGGATGGTGTTTGCTGAATGCATAGACCAGAGGTATTTGTACTAGGTAGCTAAGAAGTACACTTATTTATCAACGATGGTGTGGAGGTAGCTGTCGTTTTGAAATCTTTTGGACGTAGATGTGAGTTCATAGAGCATCAGAATTGTACTGCAAAATGATGCGGCGTGGAACAGATGACCTTATTGGATGATTTGTTTTTTCAGTTTTTCAACAGAAATTGCTGCTACAAGTGAATGGAAATTTCATAGCAAAACTGTAAGTATTTTTTAACTTTATGATCTTTTTCCATAACAGAAATTAAATTAAAGAAATTTAGGTCTTTTAGAAATAGTTTTGATTTCGTATTAGTTGAGTGTCCCCATCGTCTGTGGTGACGTTGGTCACCAAAAGTGTTGTTTTTTTCCTTTTTGTTCTCTTCCATTTTAACATCGGCTGAGTTTTTTTTTATTTTCTTGCCGACTACTAATTTTTCAGCTTTTTATTTGTGTTTGGAATGGCAGACTTTTTCGAATATTGTATAAATGATTTTTTTTTTTTGTACGATAAAACTGAGCACATTGCGGCGTAAAGGGACATAAAAACTTTCTTCATCGTTTGCATATGAACGGTTTGTGTGTATTTTGAAATATCCGAAGTTATTTTATTTAGTTTTTAATAGCAGTATAAGTGGGGTTGGATTGCTTGAAGACGGTTTACAGACTTGTCTGCTGGTGCTCAACAGTTAAAATTGAGGTTTCATTTTCTTGTGTTAGTATTCTTTGGGTACTGCAGTTTCTTTATTTGTTGCTCTAAAGGTTTATCAATGCTTTAGTGTTTAGAATACTATCACTACCATAAATTGTCTTGTTATTTTGTGGATTCAATTGTTTCTTCTTGGAAATGTTATATAAAAAATTATTTAAGTGACGCATACTCTTCGCTAATTTTCTTCTACGGAATACGTTCAGAATTGTGAGGAAAAACTGCTAGGCAGACAAGTTATTCTGAAAGAAATTCAAAATAGTTTGTTTTAGCTACACATCTGTAGTGTATGCATATATCTAAATATATGTATATATGTGCCTAATTTTATCTTTATATATCAATCTATATCCACATATTGGCCTTAAAAAGCACCTCTGTTCGATGTGTATTTTTGTCGTTGATACACTTGTTGCCTTGATTGCATGCTTGTCACTCTGCGAGCAGTAAATGCTTGGAATGTTGTACTCAGTGTGCCAATGGATTTTACCTGTCAAGGTTATGGGTAAGTGTTTTTGTATTTTTCTAATCTCTTTTGGCTTACTGTTTAATTGCATATTTTATTGGTTTTTTAGACGGTATCATGAAATAATAGATATTGCAACTATGGTTAGAGGAAAGTAGACTTCTATAGGAGTAATATTTTTATTTTGCACATTTTGTACTAATTGGGCGAGAAAAAGTATTTGGGATTTCTTTTTTGTTTTTACTGAGTTGTTTGTTTAACAAAATGATTGTTCCTTTTTACATATGTGGGGATGTTTCTTCTATGTTATTCGGAAACAAGTTAACTGGCTACTTTGGTATAATGCGCTGTGGTTGCTGAGAAAGAAAATTTTTTCGAAGCCGAGCTGCACGGTGAGTATGCGTGTGGTATACATATTTGTGTTGGAGTGCGTTTGTGCGTCGTCGGTGCGTGTTTGTTTGTTTGTATGTGTATGTATGTATGTATGTGTTTGTGCGTGCTTTGAAGGAGGATATTGTTCTAAATATTGAGGTATATTTAGTTAGTTAGTTGTTTATCTGAGTTATTTTTTTTGTTTAAGTAAAGTTTGACTGTTATATGTAGTTGGTTGGAGAAAACAGGGCCAAAACTGGGCAGTTCTCTGAGTGTATTTTTTTGGTTTGATAAACTGCTAATTGTCTAGCGTTTTTTGGGGCATCATATTTTATCGTTCGTTTTTATTTTCTAAAATATCACTGAGCGAATTTCTTGTCGAAGTTCTGAAAACAGCGCTGACATACAGTTGGCAAGCAGTTGTGTTATGAAAAGAATTTTTTTTTTTTTTTTTGAAACACAATTTTAGGGGAATATTCATATGCTTGGCACTTGCACATGATGAACGTAGTTTTGTTCAATTGATGTTAGTGGTTTCTGCAAAACATAAGGCATTTTTTTTTTTATTTATTTGTTCTTTTTTTGTGCGTAGCTTTTTACTGGTCTTTCGTTCTGATTTTTTTTCGCTGTCTGTCATCGCGCTGTTGGACACACTGCTTCACTTAATGCAGGGTATATTATGGTTTTATCACGTGAAACTGGCACAGGCGCTATCTTAAGATTTTTTGTCGTTTTATCTCATCTAAGCACTATTTAGCTTTTAATCTTTCTTCACACTAAATATCTCCTTAAAAACATGACTAGTTTCTAGTGCTTTACCTATCCAGCATCGTTGAGCAAGAACTTTTATCTTCACTGAAGGTTTGTTCATAAGTCTGTCGTCTTTTAATAAAAAAAGTCAGGCTCTAATAATTTTTTTGTCTGTAATTTTTTATTTCAACGATCTGCCAGTGCTCTTTAAATATTTTTCACAGCCTTTATATTCAGGTTATATGGGGAATCTCGCCACGGATGAAATTCTTAGAAAGCTTGGAGAAGAGGACAAAACGAGCAAAGCCAAAAAAAATCAGAAGTCAGGTGTAATGACAAAGGTTTGTCACAGTCGTTTGTTCTTATAGTCTCCACAGTCTTTTTACATCGTTTCGACTGATTAAAAAGCTTTCTTTGATTTTTCTTTATTTCTTTTCAACCAAGTTTTTTATCTCAGTATTATTTATCCGACTATTTCCAAATGATTTATGCGTTTTTCTTCGCCGTTTCTTTTTGGATTGACATTTTAGGACACTGGATATTTAAAATTTGGTTTTTGCTTCTGTCTTGTCTTATTTCTTGTAATTTTTTACTGCAAACCTTTCATTTTTTGCAAGTTTGCCCAGTAGCATGTAAATTTTCCGCAGAAGTTTGATTTATCTTTTAATTAAGGATGGCTCTAAAAACTCGAAATCAAACGGAAGTGGCGCAAAGAAAAACAAAGACAAACGTTCTCACCCGGGAAAGGTCAGTTTATGGAGTTGTTCTCTTGTATTTAACTCGTGGTTCAAAAGCGCAATTGCTGTTGTTTTGTTTAAGTTGAAAATTTTTTTTTCATTGGTCAGCTAAAAAAAAAAAACGGTTTTTTCTTTACTTGTGCAAATTTTGTATTTTTAGGATTCAGCAAAGGGTTCAGGTGGGAGTAGCAATTCGCCCTCTCCGTCACCAAAGCATAGTATAAAGATGAACGGTCGTGTATCGCCACTTGAATCGTCAGGCACTAAAGAAAATAAGGAATCAGTTGTGACTGAGAACCTTACGGTTTATATTGAGAAATACATTTGCTTATTCATTGCTTTTTGCAGCTCATTGCTGGTTATATCCACTTACTTTTGAGGACGAAGTGCTTTGATTTTATAATTTAAATTTACTTCCAACAACTTCTTTAGCAGAAGCTGAGTAGTGGTAAGCATTCTGGACGCAGGTCACGTTCTTCTGAAAAGACCAATGATAAAATCAAAGCAGTAATCTCGACTTCGGCAGTTGTGGCTACTGGAGAGGAAGATGACGAAGAACAGTATGTTAGTGCCGATGAAGGTGTTAACTCGGTAGCCAGCGATGAAGTGGTTTGTTTCGTCTTTATATTATTGTTATCAAATTTTTATTATACGGAATTAGAAATTATTACTTCTATATTTTTTATACTTTTAATAAATAATCTTCTATGTTTATATTTGTGTAAGTTTTTGGGATTTTAGTACCATACCGATGAACTCTCTGTTAGTTCGTCTCATGACTTGATGAATGATGCTGGTAATTATCGCGCTGATGATGAGGAGGTAATACCGAGCAAATATACAGTCGAGGAACCTGAGTTTATCCAGGTTACTGGAAAGAACAAAAAAAAGACTTCGACAGGTGCATATGGGGACAAAAAAGCTTCTCTTGGAAGGTATGACAATTAGAACACAGTTCTCGTAAGAGTTTTTGTAATAGATTGTAATTTGCCACGACTAGTTTATTCCTTTCATTTTTCGTGATTGTTCCATTGCTGTTGTGTGGATTAGGCTGCGAGTAAAGGGTAGTTTTCTAAGGCATTTGATCATATTTGTCTCTCTCTTTTACAGACTGCGAGATAATAACTTAGTTTACATGTTTCTTGGTTCTGTCAGATGATTTTAGATCAGGATTCGTCGTCTAGACGAATCAGGCTAGTAGTTTTAAAGCTGTTTTCAATTATCCTGAGGAGGAAGAATGAAACCATTTATGTTTACAGCAATGTCGAGAAATCAACTTCCCGGCAGGTTTCGAGTTATGCTGAGATTAATCAGAGGCGCAATTCAGCGCAACTGACCGTTGATGTTGGCACAGGACATCAGAATCAACTGTCTTCTCCGAATGATCATAAGGTTTTTTCTAGCTTTGACCTTCGCAGTAAACTGTTGTGACATTAAAAGTTTTCAGAAGTTCTTTGGTTCTTTGACTAGACGTCAGTTGAATTCTCTTGCCGATTACATTGAGGATAGTACCGTTCATCAGGGTAAAATGAGGAAGGTACTTTTTTTTGTTTCTGGTTGTCTCATACTTGGTGATTAAACAGCAGATAGATAATAAGAATTTCTTTATTTTGAATAGTATAAACCTAGTTGTCTTCCAAAATCATCTTAAGAAACAGTGACCTGTCATTATAACTATATTCCCGCTTTTATTGTAACTTGAGATTTCCTTCAGAATTCCCACCATGGTAATTCGAGGAATATTGCAAGTTCTTCTCAGCAGTTAAAATCTCAAGCTTCCCAGGAAAATTCGAAAAATAAGCTGTCTGCGACTGAGGCTGTGGATAGGCGTAGCAACCAGCCTTTGTGCTCTTCTGGTAGATATGCTGCTGCTGTCACACATAATAGTCAGGTACGTATTTCAGTTTTTCTAATTTTTAAGCGGATTTTAGACGATATATGATCTGGGAGTTGTGACTGTACTTCACTACGAAATCTGCGAAATTGCACAAGTTCATTCAAAACCCAAAAATTTCATGTCGAGATCTGCACAAAAATTATTTTTGATCACTTTTACATACGACTAGATAAATCTCATATCTGAGCTCATTCATTAATAACTTGCTTTTTATGACACTGTTCACTAGGCTTTTGCAACTGTTAAAGAAATGTTTTTTGTTTCATTTATTATGCCCTTCAGAATTTTTTTTCGAATTTCGGCTTAAGTATTTAAACAGACTACATTCCTTTTTCTTTACAGCTCATAATTCGTTTTTTTTAGAGCAGTCTTTCCCGTACGTTTTATTTCTTCATTTTTTTTTTTTTTTTTT